CCTAAGTATCTAGACATTGCATAGTAGTCCTAGACTAAGGTGAGGGATAATTCCCCGAAGGACCTGCTTTTATATTTATTTGATCTCTAGACTAGTTAGTTCACTCATATCCTCCAACACAAACCCTTAAACCAATTAGCTAGATAACAACAACATGGGAAGTAGGTTAGGGTACCAGGACCTGAGTGAATATGACCTTGATTGCCACTATACGACAATACAATTTTAGGTTAAACTTGTCCTAGGATGGGGTAGTTTTTGACATGTGCTAACCATTGACAATAATCTGCACGGACGAATGTGATCAAGTTTGCCTAATTGTGAAACCAATAGTATGACGACCGTTACAACCGGGTTCAATCGATAATAGACCAAAACTATTTTTTTGACCATAAGTATGAAGTGGTAATTAAAATCAATACAAAATAGTCAAAATCGAAAAAGTGATTGAGTGAAATGATCAATTTCCGGTCCCTAAAGAAAATGACATTTTGGTGGTGGAATCAAAATTTTTTTTGAATTCGGGTATGAACGTTGATGTTATATGTTGGATTTAAGTATAAACATTTGGATGTTGACGTTAAACGTTGCATTAATATAATGATTTGATATTTTTTTTATAATATAATATTTTAAGGCATGTTTGGAAGTTATGATTCTCTAAATTGATGTATTTAATTAATGTATGTATTATAATTAGATTCATTGTTTCAATGTATGGATTTAAAAAATACATTGTTTGGAGATTGAATGATTTTGGTGGTCCGTCAAATAATAAGGAAGAAAAAGTAAGCTAACAATCCCTCAAACACAATCTTTGCTAAAAGTTAAGATTGAAAATCATTCATAATGAATGATACTGGTAGTCCCATCTCATGTTCAAATACAAGCCTTTTGTTTCAATTAAAACGATAAATTCTTCTGATTACATGTATTGGCTTAATACAGATAAATCATCTTAAAGATAGCTTATGTAAATGCATAAATTTGGTGTTAGTGAATTCCTACTTTCTCGTACATTTTGTTAAAATTTAGGACTTTGCTACGGTGACATGTATGTCACCGTAACTTGTACTTTTAGGTCGACCTCATATAGGATTAGGTAGACCTAATCTGCCGTTTTAGTTTTGTGAGGTTCAATGACGCGGTTGACCTTTTATAGCAAATGGTCGACCTCTTTGGTAAGCATACAAAATGAAAGGTCGACCCAAATACCTCATAGGCCGACCATTTTGCACATAATAGGTCGACCGCATAAGTACGAGGTCGACCGCGTGCACACTGTATCCGTATTGGATAAGGATTCCAACAACAGAAAGGTAACCCTAACTTATCTACCACTTAATTCGACCCATTCTCGTCCTAAATATCTATAAATACGAATATATGTCACGTTCACCGCCACCAAAACTCTGAATTAGGTTTTTTTTTTACGGTTAGAGCTTTTGTGAAGAATACCTTTGTGGTTGTTGTTTTACGTGTATCAAGAGGTCGACCACGTCGAAGGTGAGGTCGACCTAATGTAGCTATCGTCGTATGAAGAGAGGAGAATGCACAACCGTAAGATTGCTCCTATCAGGCCATTGACAACCGATGTGTATGCTCATTTCAAAAATTACGGGTTCTTAGCACCATTTGTGGAACAAGAGTGGCTGAAGGTGATATCTCTAAATGTACCATACTACCCAAAAATGATACAGTACTTCTACAACAACATCATCTACCAGCATAATGCAAATGGATCGATTCATGCTTTTAAAAGCTATGTGAATGGGGTGGAGATGCGCATCAGCAAGAATGTGTGGCAGAAATACTTGAGACTCCAAACCAGAAGAAGAGAATCAATTCTTACAGTGCTTGGAGTGAAACTCATTTATCGAGAACCAAGCAAATTCAGTATGTATGTGGTCTTGCTGAAGAGGAAGATGCTCACGATCGTAGTAGGCCAACGATTTACCAGCTGACAGTTCAAGCCAGAGTTCTTCACCACATGCTTTCCTACAACATTCTGCCAAAGGGTGGACATCGGGATGCAGTCACCTACTTCGACATGGAGCTCCTCACCAACCTACTTTCAAATGAGAAGGTGAACTTGCCATACTTGATCTTTAACCACATGCTTGGTGGTGCAGAGAGTTCAACCAGGAATCTTCCCTATGAGATGATCCCGACTTTGCTATTTGAGCATTTTAATGTGGATTTAAGTGGTGAGGTTGGCTTAAGAATCTCAAGACAGGAGTTCTATACAGTTTCATCCCTGAAAAAGATGGGATTTGAGCTGCGTAATGGTGAGTATGTCCGATTATACAATCCTCATGGTGTCCATGGTGGTGATGATGATGAGGATGATGTTGGTGACACTAATGAAGGAGTCGGAGACGAGCCAATGGCGCAGGCACAAAGTTCAACTCCACCGGTCACCTTAGAGTGTATGTGGGAGCGCATGGATGGCATGTAAACTACATGGGCCAGATGTCCACCCAAATGACTGCATGTACGACTACATGGGGCAAGTGACCACCCAGATGAGCACACTGCAAGTGACCGTGAATGAGATGCGAGATGAGTTACGATCTCTCAGTGGAAGATACATGCATCCCACCACATCCGACTATCATAATGCTAGCAACACCAATGAAGAAAATGCGGCAGAGGGAGAGAGGGGAGAGGAGTAGGAACTCGGCGATTTTAGATTGTGTGTTTTTGTTGTTAAGTGTTAAAAACGATTGTGGATTGATATGACGTGGTTTTAGATTTTAGTTATGCGTGAACAATTATGATTTGTGTTTTATTGTATTTCTTGTTAGTTTATTTAGTTATTATGTTATGAAGTTATGAGTCCTTGCTATCATAGGCAAAAAAGGCGCGGGTCATAGGTTGATTTTCCTGTATTCGGTCGACCTTGTACCAGATTAGGTCGACCGCGAAACCAACAGTCTTGATCTTCATTTTACGTCAAATGGTGATGAATAAATGGATACAACACTTCTCTTCTATCTGGTCGACCTCTTTCTGTAAATGGTCGACCATTTTGTTAATGACCGCAATCAAGTGGTCCACCTATATACCTTAACGATTGACCATTTTGCTTCTGACGCCAATGCAAAGGGCGACTGATGTTTTTATTGTGGTCGACCAACAATGACAACTTAAACTACAAACGGTCGACCACTACATTTTAAAGATCGACCGTGATAAGTCATCAGGGTGCCCACATTAGTGTATTCGATCGACCTCTGTTAGAATTAATTCGACTAAAAAGTACAAATTACGGTGACATGCAACACGATAAAACTTAAAACCTACACCTTACCTATGAACCAGTTTTAATATTTATCCTGATCTACACATAATATAATACACCGAAGGGAAAAACGGGAGCCCCATTTCAAATTTCCTGCAACGAGAGTGAAAGTAGGAAGGACATTTTGGTCTTCACAATTACTTTTTTTTTATTCATTAAAAAAACACGTACTGGGATTCGAACCATGTCCATTTTAAAGAAAAGCAAGGAACATAACCAATCACACTAAGTACATTTGTTGCATCCTTTTAAATCAAAAACATATAATAGCAAGGAGGAAAAACCCCTTCCCCCATTTCAAATTCTCTGCTCCATGAGCGTTTGTAGGAAGGGTAGAATAGGTAGTGTTAATTTTTTTCTCTTTCCTCTGTGGAACGGGCCAACTTACCGTACTCATGCGGATTTAAACGGGTTCAGGAGTGTCAATTTTTTTCTTTAACCCCTTGTATTTCTCCGTGGTGATAAAATATATATGAAAAGACAAAAACAATACTTCTTTTTATGCTAAAAATAAAAAAAATTTAACAATAAACTAATGCATGGTATCTAAAGGGCTAACCGCTAACCATAAAATAAAAGAGTTGAATGGGCCTGACCTACACCGGATTTGGCCATCAAGTAAAACAAATGAACATCATTGGTTTGACATTCTAAATCAAGCTATTTTCTCTAGCATAATATATATTATTATATTATTTTATATTTTAGTGGCTAAAATATAATGTAGTTTAAAGTTATTCAATGGTTCAATCTCGACCAACCCAATTAGTCCAATTTTTATCATTTCAAATATATATTATATAATTATTTGATATCATAATGATAAAATTATAGTGTATTTTATAGGGAATCGTTTGGTATTTGTTAGTAAAAAACTAAACAGAAAGATCTATTTAGTTATTTTAAACATTAAAACGATCCTAAACATTTTCAGTTTCTTTTGAATTTCTATGGTTTTATTCCCGAATAAGTGATGTGCAAATGGCGAATTGCAGTCATCTATTTTCTTTCACTATTTTTTATTTTCAAATAGAAAGTTTAAAAGTAACGAATAATTAGAATTTTGCATGGGTCGGTCAAACAGGCTGAATTTTAAGTTTTGGCCCGTTTTGATCAAGTCTAATTTATAATCACATGGTTCCCTGATACCCGATAAAAATCTCAATCCAACCACTTTGGCAGGTGAGTCCGTGTTTACCACCATTCTCTAGGAATACGACAACGGTGGTTCCTATCCCAAATCGTGTTGTTCGTTCTTGATTTCCTTAGATTTTATCATGGCCTGACAAAAACCAGAAAGCACAATGACGACAAGATGAAAGTTTTATAAATCAAATTAATGGTGTTCTCTTTCTGATCTCATGTAATTATATAATGAAGTTGAAGTTTTTCGATGCTATTCAATTTCATTGGTATGTTTTTAATGGTCTAACTTCATGGTTGTACCAACTTTTGATGTAATGTTTATGTTCCAATATATTCACTTTGGTATGATTATTAGGGATATGCTAGGCGGTACTCACCATTAGACCAATTTAGCTTAATGGTTGAATCTACGGGTTATCCCAATAATTCAATATTCGGCTCAGCTCCTCCGACCAACGGGTCGGGTTACAAGCTAGTTGTACTATATCACTTAGTTTGGGGCCAAATAGCCATTAGCTCAAAGAAAAGAGAGTACACGCGTCGCGAGTCGCGACAAGAGGAAGAGGCGAAGTCATTCAACGCCTGACTGATCTCCAATCAGGAATCAGTACAGATCCGCCATTGATTGTTGATTGGCAAACAAAATGTCAATAGCGGAACACAACCTTTTTCCTCACCACTCTCCCATTTCCGCCTGCTCGCTCTCACCATCGCACACAGTTCCGACAAACGAGGCTGCCTGCCTGCGGCGGGTTTAGAAAATTTGACGAAGTAACCCTCCTCCGATGGGCCGCCGGCAATCGGATTCCGAACTCGGCCGCCGCGCTCTCCTATTTCTCCTCCTCACCGCCGCTCTCTCCTGCTGCATGGTGTACCTCTGCTTCTCCCATGCCTTTGATCATCTCGATGACTTTCCTTCATTTGAATCGGAGGCCGATTTGGCATTCGGGGGTCGACAAGTCGAAGAAGAGGAGGAGGACAAGGATTGTTGCAGAGGGATTCCGCACCTAGAGCTTTGGGGCGATGCTGTAAAATGGGGTGCTAATTTCAAGCTCAATTCCTCCAGGGAATGCTGTCTCGCTTGCAAGGCCATGTGCAAATCCCCTTGCCTTTGTGATTCTTGGGTCTTTTGCGGAGAAAAACCCGCCTGTGGGTCTAATTTCGGCGAGGTTTTTCTGCTCTCTCTGCTGCTGCTGCAATTCCAGTAATTCTCCCCTCCAAATACCATTATCTCCTGTTACTGATCATTTCCCCATAATGGGATTTATTCTGTGTCGTTTGTGTGTTTCAGTGTTGGCTCAAGAAACAGAAGGACCCACTGGAGCCTGATCGGCGAGACGCTGGCAGTCTGGTGATGTGGACTTCTGGGCTTGTCTATGGAGAAAGAGAGGTAAAAACATGACAGAAACCCTGTAGCTATCAGTTACCAATTCCTTTCTTTCTCTTCACAAGGCTCTCTGTCCTGCTTTGCTGACTTGTTTATTCTCTTCATGTATTCGGTTAATAGGGCATCGTCGGATTAGAAACAGATTATGGGATGCTTCGTGTACACGTAAGTGGTCTTCGGTTCCATCCGCTCCTATGAACTCATCGAGCCCATAACTTGCTCAGATTTCCATCTAGTCATGGGTTCATTTGTGGTTGTCCTTTCGAGTTATTTTCTCTTCCTTTGGTTTACTTGTGTGCTGCATTACTCTATTGTTAATTGAATGATGAGCTGCGAATTGGATTATTGTGTGACACTGGTAGCTTGTTGAATCAGCATCCCGTTCTGTCTTGTATAGTTTTCCATCTCATATAATTGTTTGTTCAACTTTGCCTTTATTTTTTTGTCATTGAACTACACTCTGCAGCTTTTACCAGACTGTGCTCCACATTCGGTTTCCTATATCCTGGAGTTGCTGGCGTTGCGTCATTGTGCAGGGTGCCACTTTTACCGTGCAGAAAGCCGTGGAAGATCGTGGGACGATGCAGGAAATCACATAAAACATGTAAGATGATAGATTGGCTAGTAGTTTGAGGGGGTGGTAGTCAATTACCAGAAAGTTTTAGCTGCCCATGCTTGAATAGGCTAATTTCAACACTCAACGATGTATAGCTTATACTGATGTTTCTGCTCCAGGCTTCTTATGGGCCTCCGTATGCCCTGATTCAAGGAACACTGGAAGCTCAAGGCACAATCTTTAAGGACATCTCACCAGAGGCATGCCCCACAGTAACAAGAGGTTCCGTTGCCTGGGTTGGTTCAGGTCCGGAGTTCTTTATCAGTCTAGCTCACCACAGTGAGTGGCCTAAGGACTACTACACCGTGTTCGGTTATGTGCTTCCAGAAGATATGGGCATTGTGGAGAAGATTGCAAGGCTTCCCACCAAGCCGGAGGTTTGGAACAATATTCATGTAGCTGTACTGGAAACTAGTGTTCCCTTGCGGCTTAGAAGAATCGAAAAGAGCCCACTTTGACAATGAAACCAACCCAGGAGAAGAGAGGAAAATGCAAATAGATTGATGTTGGGCTGTGAAAGTCGCCATGGGTAGGTATTTTGTAGCAGCAATACTAGTGTATAGGATTTTCCAATTTTGGGTCTTTCTTTTAGATTGTGGTACGAATTTCTTGTCACTTCTGTGTACCAATGATTGCAAAACATGCAACCGGAATTGGATTCGATTTGTTAGATACTTAGATCCATCACCGACATGACCGGTTTGCTGTTTGTTGAAACTAGGCTGCATTGCACATCTCCCGTTCCTTGTTCTTCTATTCATTTCTTGACCGCCAGGTCATTGGGTGCAGTGGCGGAGCCAGAAAATTGGCCAAAGCCCAAGGGGGTGCTTCTTCATGTCATGAAAAAATCAACTATATAATAAAAAGATCAACTCTAAACGAAAATATGAAAATCAACTTCATTATATGACTAATTCAGTCTATGTAGTTAATTTGGAGATGAAATTGAGTATAACAAACACACAAACCTAACCCTACATTACCACAAATAATAAAATTTTCAAGTAATTGAAATTAAAACTTAGATTTTACTTTGTTGTTAAAGATTGATCAAACAAAGTAATTTTGTGTTGCTGGCTTGTTGCTCCCCTACCCTGCTCACGATTGAAAAGAGAAGGATTTTTGGAGGTGAAGGACGGAGAATGAAAGTCTGGAGCCTAGAAATAGTTTGGATTTGTTGGGTAGGAGCCGGAAATATGGGTGGTGGGTGGAGGTTCGGCGAGCTTGGAGCCGGAGATGGAGAGCATGGGGGCTGGAGGATGGATAGCTTGGAGGTTGGGCGAGCTCGGCTTGCAACTCGCAGCGCCTCTGCTACCGCTGGGTGGAGGAAGAACGAAATTGTAACTGGGGATTGCTGGGATAGACGATTAAAGTTTTGCGTTTTGATATTAGGACAGATAATTAACATTAATATAATTAAACATGTATGTATTATAAATGAAAAACTCTTAGTCGAGATGGTAAAGATTTCTCATTGTCAACCATTAAATTAGTGGTTCGATCCTTGCTTCCTACTAACATATATTGGATTTTTTTTCCCGTCCCAAAGCCAATGCACCCCCTCAAGTATGCACAGCTCCGCCACTGATTGGGTGAAACCTGTAGCGAGAATTGTAGAGGTAGTTGAGCTTGTATATCTTTCGGGAAGGGTTGCGGTCATGCAGGGATCCGGAAATGCTGTGTAGTTTGTAGTATAAATCTAAACTGAAGCGCTAACGAGGATTCAACTTTAAGCATCATGAAGTTCTGTAGAAATTTGTCATAGTGTTAAGTAGACCTAGGATAAACTTCCAAAAAAAAAAAAAAAAAAAGTAGACCTAGGATAGCGAGCACTCCTATTCTATAAAGCATTAGTGTTTTAATGTACAATTTGAAGTTGTACCATAACGTTAATGTATAAATTCAGTTTGTACCATAAAAGAATATGTATTCTTATGTTACGGTACAACTTGAGTTGTATCATCACATAAATGTACAAGATCAAATTGTACGATAAAAGAATATATACAAAAGACTATAGCTACAAAATGAAGTTGTACCATAACGTTAAAGATACAACTTCAAGTTGTACAATAAAAACAAAATCTATATCACCAATGCTATATAGCATTGTAAAATCCTCCTAGGATAGGACGCATAAATATTTGGCATTTTGATTTTAAGTAGGACAAGATTTATGGTATGTGAATTAAGAACTTTTTATTTTATTTATTTTTTAATTTCCTTTTATATTTTTTTATTTTAATTTGGATTTCAAATATTTTTCACAAATGGAACAGGTTCGTTGTGATCGACAAAGTGATATCGATTTTCAATATATTTTGAGAAACAAATTTCATAACACCCATACCACTTGTTACCACCCTGATACCGCCTGGTATCACTTGGTACCACATTTATTTTCACTCATATTTTGAAATTTTTTGTTGATAAGGAACGAGTTTTTCGCGATCTATTATATTTATATCTACAAAGTTTTAGGAAACAAATTTCAAGAACAAATATACCACCCTAGTACGTATAAGGTGGTAACTGGTGTTATATGGTAATTAAGGTGACAAGTGATAGTTAGTATATTCCTACTATCATTTATGCAACCATTCTACATTCTGCTACGTTCATACCACCATGATACAATTCATACCACGTGTTATAATCATATGTGCTAATAGCTACTAAGCATTACCACATGGTATGAAAATGTCTCAATTTTTTGTTCCAAAATATATCAAAATGAATGTCATTTTGAAGAGCACAATTGATATGATCTATTTGTGAAAAAAGAAAAAAAAAAAGAAATTGAGACTTACAATGAAAGAGATATAGCCCATTAAAATTAATTGAGAGAAAGTTAATTATCTTCCATAAATGGTAAAAGTATGGTTATTCATGGTTATTGACCTTGACGTTATTGATCAGATCCTCTACCATAGAAGTAATTGATCAGATCCTCTACCATAGAAGTAAGTATTTTAATGGAGGATTCTAGATTCTAGATATTTGTATAAAATAATCTAGAGAATCAATAGTGACCGCATTGATTAGATAGATCCTACACCTATTTTGGAGGTGAGGCATGTATAAGGAGCACCTCCCCTCATTTTAACCATCCAGAAATGTTGAGAACAATAAATCCATATTAAGAGTTCCCCCATTCTTGTGAGTTTGAGCACCCTCATTTTAACCATCCAGAAATGTTGAGAACAATAAATCCATATTAAGAGTTCCCCCATTCTTGTGAGTTTGAGCAAGTGTAAGTGTAGGCTGGCTTAACTTTCTAATGTGACTTGAGTGCTAAGTCCCCATGAAAGAGTTTTGTTCATGATATTATGATATCAAAGCCTTGTTAGTGGTCACGAAGAAGGAAGAGCTTAATGAGCTCACGTATGGATCTGAAATTCGTTTTGATGAACGTGGAAGGGATCAAGTGAAGAATCCCAAACCAAGCAAGACAAAGAGGTTAAGTCTCAATTGTGAGTTTGAGATGCTCTGAAAATGGTTGAGGAGAATCTATGTAATATAAAGATCTTTAATGGGATATGAGCGTAATACGAATTAGAGAACAAGTAAGAGAGTAAAAGTGAAGAGAACAAGATGTTAGAAAGAGGAAAAGCAAGAAACTAACTGGATTCCAATCTTCTATGTAATTTTTTTTTGACAAAAGATAATCATATATTGATATCAAAACATAGATAGTTACACCCTGGAACCAAGCCAAGTCGGAAAATCAAAGAAACGACTCATGGTCGGGTACAAAGAGATGGCTTTTCTAGCCACCAAATGGGCCACCCTATTACTACTCCGACCTATAAACCACACACTAATCCTTGGGCTGTTACCAAAATATTGTAAGACTTCTTCCAAAACGGAGCCCATCCGGTTGTCCCTCGCATCCTTGCAATTGATTTTATCAATGATGATCTTAGCATCCCCTTCGAAGCGCATCCTCGTAAAACCCTGACCCAAACACCAAGTAATAGCCTCCCGGAGCACTAGCAACTCCACGACCACTGGGTCATCAATCCCCTGAAACTGAATCCCGTGAGCCATAAGAACATCCCCAGAGGGAGACAGAAGAACCATGCCATCTGTTGAATGCGATCCCTTCCTGGTAGCCCCATCCCACTGGCAAGTAAACCCTGCAGCCTGCCCTGACCCACCTGACCGTGGAACCATCGGGGGAGGAGGCATGTGGGGCACATCCACTGGCAGCCCCACCCATTCCTCATACTGCTGGGAAAACTGTCTCATCAACGCGGGGAACCCAAACTTCTTCCCTTCAAACACCACCCAATTTCTCAACCGCCAGATGCGCCACAGGACAGCGAAAACTGCCATGAAGAGCCCTGACTGCTGAATTAAGGCCATCAAACGTTTAAGAAACAGCGGAAAAGTATGGCGAGGCAACCCCTCCCCTAAGTACTCTAGCCCCGAGAGGCCCCAGAGCGCACGCGCCACCAGACAATCCAGAAACAGATGCTCCATAGTTTCTGGGCCACCCCAACAGACCGGACAACGAGGGAGGATAGGGACCTTTCGAGCAATTAGGGCCTCCGTGGTGGGGAGAATTCGATTCAGAATTTGCCAAACAAAGACTTTCAGCTTAGGGGGAATATTCGCATCCCACAACCAGATCCAACTGGATCTATCCATCCAACTAGCCGACGCCTTCCACCTCCCCCTCCTCCTATCAAGGGAGACAGCCAGATGATAGGCTGACTTGACCGAGAACACCCCATCAGGAGTAAAATGCCATATCAGTTTATCCTCAATGTTCTGTCTGGGAAGGGGAATAGTTTTTATAATACGGCAAGTAGGTGGATCAAACCACTGGCTGAGCTTGAGATCACACCAGCGCCCTTCCCCTTGACAAATTACCTCAGCCACAGTAGGATCTCCCCCCACTAGTAACACCACCGGATTGTACCTCGGGGGATCAAGCTGTAGTTGAGGAATCCATGGGGATCGAAGTAGGGACGCCGAGCGCCCATTCCCAATTTGCCATCTGAGACTCATCTCCAATAAATCCTGACCATACAAAATGCTTTGCCAGCCCCAAGATGGGCGCGACCTGGCTTTAGCATTGAGGAAATGCCCAGAGGGGAAGTACTTACCCTTATAGACTTGAGCTAGAAGAGACTGAGGCTCAACTAAAATACGCCAACCGATCTTGGCTAAATGGGCTTGATTGAAATGCTCAAACCACAGTAGGATCTCCCCCCACTGGTAACACCACCGGATTGTATCTCGGGGGATCAAGCTGCAGTTGAGGAATCCATGGGGATCGAAGTAGGGACGCCGAGCGCCCATTCCCAATTTTCCATCTGAGACCCATCTCCAATAAATCCTGACCATACAAAATGCTTTGCAAGCCCCAAGATGGGCGCGACCTGGCTTTAGCATTGAGGAAATGCCCAGAGCGGAAGTACTTACCCTTATAGACTTGAGCTAGAAGAGACTGAGGCTCAACTAAAATACGCCAACCGATCTTGGCTAAAAGGGCTTGATTGAAATGCTCAAACCGGCGGAAGCCCATACCCCCACCTCATGCTTACTCTTACACATATCTCGCCAGGCCATCCACCTGATTCTCGAGTGTCCCTCCTCATCACCCCACCAAAAGCGAGCAACATGTTTGTCCAATAAGCGACACAACGAGAGAGGCATCTTGAAACAAGACATCACATGCAACGGTAAAGCCAAGGCAATGGACTTAATCAGTGTCTCCTTCGCTGCCCAAGAGAAGCTCCTCCGTTTCCACCCCTGTAGCCTTTCCAACAGCTTTTCCTCCAAATACCGAAAGGTCTCCATCTTAGAACGAGCAATCAAAGTGGGGAGGCCCATATACTTATCCTGCACCCCAATAGCTCCGACACCCAAAATCGCAGCTAAGACCTCCTGGTCCGGCAGCGCAATATTCTTACTGAAACAAATCGCCGATTTAGCCAGATTGACGCGCTGTCCACTGAGTTCCTCATATCATTTAGAATCGTAATTAAAGTATTACACTCCTACAGAGTGCCCCGAGGAACAGATAAGAGCCATCGGCAAAGAATAAATGCGAGATACGGGGGGCACGCGGGGCCACCTTAGCCCCTGCCAATCTCTTATCCCCGATCGCCTTACTCAAGAGAGCCGCAAACCCCTTAGTGCAGAGCACAAAAAGAAGAGGGGATAAGGGGTCTCCTTGCCGCAAGCCCCATGATGGTCTGAAGAACCCGAACGGAGTACCATTCATCAGCACAGAGAAAGATGACGACCGAAGGCACTCATGAATCCACCCCTGCCAAACTGAGTTAAAACCCATCTTGTCCAAAATTGCAAGATGAAACGGCCATTCGACTCTATCATAGGCCTTTTCCATGTCAACCTTAAGAGCCATATACCCCTTCTTGCCTTGCTTTTTGATTTTCAAGTAATGCATTAATTCATGCCCAAGGAGGATATTCTCAACAATTTGGTGATCCCTAATGAAAGCGTTATGGCCAGATGAAACAATATTAGGTAAGAGGCCCGACAATCGTTCAGCCATGATTTTAGTTATGATTTTATACACAAATTGACATAAACTGATTGGGTGCAACTGTCTCATGGATTCAACATTATCCACCTTAGGGATCAATGTGAGCCAGGTGTGATTGAAGCTACGGAGCATCCTACCAGTCGTAAAAAAAGAGCAGACTGTGTCAACCACCGACTCTCCCACAATACCCCAAAATGCCTTAAAAAATTTGCCTGTGAACCCATCAGACTCGGGGGCTTGCTTAGCACCCATCGCAAAGACAGTTTTACGCACCTCCTCCGGGAGGACAGTAGCCATCAGGCCAGCATTCATCTCTGGAGTAACACTACGGGCGATAGGCAAAGCAGCAATACGCTCCCCCATATTAAGAACTTGATTTTCCGAAGTGAACAGATGGCCATAGAAACTGGTAGCAATATTCGCTTTACCTTTTTCATCAGCAATCCAATCGCTATTCTCATCTCTTAGACCCGTCACAAAGTTCCGCTTACGACGCGTCCTAGTCACTGTATGGAAGTATGACGTGTTTTTATCTCCCTTTTTCAACTAGTGAACTCTAGATTTTTGCTGCCAGTATGCTTCTTCCGCATCCCACTGCCTTGTTAATTCAGCTTCCAGACAACGGACCGCATCCCAATCAATTGGATGAATCAGCTTAAGCCGCTCAATCTCGCTTTGGAGAGTTCTGATATTCCGCAGGGAATTAGTTGTTCCTGCTCTACTCCAATCATACAATAAATGATGCAACTTCTTAAGGCGCTCCAAAGGTGAAACATCGGGGTGCCTTGGATATCTTCCTGCCATACATAAGAAACAATGGCCTTCACTTCAGGGTTATCCACCCATCGAGCATCAAAACAGAATAGAGGGCGACTATTCTTTACATAGGGTTTATCAGAGAGGAGGAGCGCCCGGTGATCCAATCCCTGATCCGTAAAATGCTTGACCAAGGTATCAGGAAAGCGGTCAAGCCAAGATTGCGAACAAAGGGCTCTATCATATCTCTCTCTAACACAGGCCGCCTCCATTCCTTTATTGGTCCCCCTGGAACCCAGGGTCCAGAAGGCCCAAATTCTGGATAAAATTGCGCAACATTCCATTGATTCCCTCCATCCTTCTCACTCTCATGGAGAGTCGTATTAAAATCGCCTAAAACAACATAGGGGACTTGGATACCAACACAGATCTCATGGAGCTGCTCTAACTGAGTAGCACGACGAGCTACATTGCAACTAATGTAAACAAAGATCGCCACATACGAAAAATTCATTTCATTAACTTGAACACAAACACAGAAATCTGAATGAAAAAACACCGAAGCAGCAACTTCGGGGGCCCAAGCGACAACTAAACCACCAGATGCATCAACCGCATCAACAAGAAAACAACAAGAAGACTTAAACCCTAACCCACGCAAATGGCGGGACACTAATCTCCGTCTCGAACGTGTTTCCGAAAAAACACAAGATCCGGGTTATTCGAATGAACTAAACCAACAGCAGTTTGAAATGTGAGGGACGGGCCAATTCCTCTCACATTCCACGCCAGAAGCCTCATTTATCTGACTGGGGCCACTCAAGGCTGGCTTCCTCCACCTGATTAGCAACATCATCAACTTCCACAAACTGTTTCTTCGGAGACGGGGGGGGGGGGGGGGGGGGGGGGGGACACCCAGATCGCCTCCTACATGCTCCAGCGAGCATTTTCGAGCCCCAATATCCGGGTGCATCATATTCGAACCATACTCATCCAGACCAGTCTAAAATTTCCCTCCTCCCCATCCTGGCGCACCCGTAGAGCATAGTCATTGGGGATCTTTTCAACACAAGGATTTTCCCTGCTACCCTCTTGGGCCAGACAGAGGCCAGCCTCAAAAGCCGCCACAACTTTATTAACCCAGCCTGGGGGCATGGGAGTCTGATGCGTACCACACCCCGGAGGGATACGCTTCTTAATCTCAAAGCAAGGCATCTCCTCCTCCGAATCTGAGTCTGTAAAAACTTGCTCTTCTTGGGGGTTTCCAGTAGTGCCATTCCTCAACCCATTTGTCGAGCCCAGGGGCGATCTGTCTTCTGGATAGCGCCTGGCTCCCTGCATGCCCGCACTACCGTTCCCATGAACTTTCATTTTATAAGGTTTTGCGTCACCATGGGCGAGCCTCAATTTGCCCTTCAGCCGCTGCCGCTGAGTTGCCCTGCCAGCGGAAGGCATGGCTCCATTGTTCCCCTGAGTACCCACTTCTTCCTTCTCACGCGCACAACCTACTCTCGCGGCATGCCTGCCGTCGATTGTTTCGGTAGCTTCTCCCCCATGGCTACGTCAGTACCTGTAGCATGGTTCAGGTCAAGATCATCATCCGAATCCTCTTCCAAGATCAGGCGCCGACGCCTGGATTCCTCTAGCACCATCTGCACCTCCGGTTGTGCAGCCGGCGAAACCTGGTCACTGGGCTGGTCTGGTATGACTCCCCGCCTCTGGGCCTGCCTCGGCCTGTCTCCATTTCCATCCACCAAGGGGCGAGTAGGACCCAGGCCCGGGCTTAACCGCCGCTGCTTACTCGATCCACCCCCAATGCGGGTAACAGGAGATTTTCGGACCGGAAAGCCCTTCGGACTAGCGAGCTTTGGCTTAGCCTTCATCATGGGCCTGGGTGAACTGGATCGGCCCATCTTCCTGGTGTGGGTCTGTTCGGCGTCATGGCCTGGAGCCCGGTGTCGAGGAGTAGACTCCCCCGTCTGTGAGCCTTGCCCGCGGCCTTTATTTTCCATTCCAGTTCTTTCCATTTGCTGTCGAACCTTCCTGTTAATCCAGACAAGATTTCTAGCCCCACGAAAACCTGGGTTTGCCTCCACTTCCTCATAAATTTTACGTCCCATCTTCCTTGTAGTCATGTGGGGACCGAATTTTTCTTTCCCCTTTGGAGGGTCAATTGAGCATTCACGATGTGCATGGCCCAGTCGGCCACAGTGATAGCAGAAGGTCGGAAGGAATTCATATTTCGATCGAACCCAAAAGTATCCGGTTTCCTCACTGACCGCCATAAGTTGGGACCTCAAAGGCTTGGAAAAATCCACCAAAGCACGAACTTTCATAAAGCTGACTCCCGTGTCTTTGCAGGCGAAGACATCAGATTCTAAGACCTGGCCAATGGTGGGAGCTACAAGTTTTTGCCCAAATTGTTTGGTACAACAATCCTCCTTCACGTCCAGAGCTGGATGCGGAATGGAGCAACAACAAGATCGTCAAAGATTTGCTTACTAATCATAGGTGTCCAGGAGCGAAGGTTGATCAGTTTATCTTTGATCACCCACGGGGTCCATTTTAAGACCCATATTTTTGATTCCTCACTTGGCAAGACGATCTCAATCAGTCCATGCTTGGTACGCGAAACCCAAATGTGACCTCTCATTTCCTATGCATCACTCATCTCATCCCGAAGCTCTGTGTTTATGAGCTGGGTCCCCGTAAACATTCGTCCCAAGAGAGTACGTGAAGCACGAAATTTAGTTGATTGGACTTCCTCTAGGTTGAATTTCACAACCTGATCATCAGCAGCACGATCCATCGTAGTTTCCTGTATTAGAGACGAAAAACATTTAGTTAAATGGCTAGGAGCCAAGGTACTAGTTGCCGGTCCATTATTGGGACGCAACCCAGGGGCGGAAACAGAGTCCCATCGCAAAACACCAGCGGGAGAAGGGGGTGGAAGGGGCAAAACAGAGCAGGGGGATGACGTTGCTTTCATAGTCATCATACCTGGACTTTCCTGGCCGGCAGATAGGGGTTGGAGCGGCAACACTTCTCGGCAGCCTTTACCTCGCAGCAGAACAGGGTTACAGCTAAACCAAGTTTGGGGGAAAGCGATGAATGAGAAGGAGGGAGGGCGAGCTCCCTTTATAGCCCACCCTATCTGCCTTGTGGCTTCCACTTTTAGAGTTCGAGAGTGATTAAGAGTCCCGAATGCAGTTAGGATCTAGATATCCTATGCTTTTTTGTTTTTTTTTTCTAATTAGTGAGATGCTCGGTTTCTTTGGGGAGATAAATCCGAGATTCTTCCCAGGCCCAAATCGTATCCCAACCGCCGTGATTGTCACCGAGCGAGCCTCGTGGGATAGATCCGAGCCAGTAGCCAACGAATCCGACCCGACCACTGTACCGGAGCACTTCCCTGAGTTCGGATTGTTCGGCTCCGGCGGTGAAGGCCCATCGTCTCTGGTGGGAAGAAAAAGATCACGATTACAAGATGGTTTCACTAGCCCATCCTCCCCGAAGGGTTTTGCGCAATCAATACCACAAGAACGATTTAATGCCACCAAATCAGTTTGTGTGTGCTGCTCATCCATTCTTGGAGTCGAGCGTGGAGACAGAGCCTCCCCATCCAGCACAGACGAAGGGGGGAGCCAAAATCTCCACCCCTTCAAAGCCAATTTTTTACTTCTTTTGAAAGAATCAACACCGGAGAACTCCACAGCTTCACCTAGAGTCTCCAATCGCTTTCATTTCCGGTTTGAGATGGCCCTTTGACGGAGCATACAAGCCCGTCGGGCACTTTTTAGATCTTTAATCGATGGCCCCTGTGCAGTCTTGCTGTGTAGATCTGCCACCGGTGGCCGCTTTGTACTCGTTGCGCAGCACCGTTCCCCTCGCTGTGGTCGAAGAGGCCCTGATTCTGCAAACTGATCGAGAAGAAGGCGATCCCCATCGCCCATAGCCAGCGACTGATCGCGGCGCTTAGTGAGCGGAGAGAGGAGAGAGCTCCTCGCATGCCCCTTTTTTTTTTTTTTCAGATGTGCCTGATATGTTTCGTAATATTCGCACCTCCCAATCTTCTATGCATTAACCTAAGAAATAAATTTATATCTATAGAAATAACATCACTAATCACTTTACTCTTAGCGCTGGGCCATCGGCCCCATGACTCTGCTTTCCTAACCCATATATAACATTAGTTAAACCTACACAACTATTAATATGAAATCTTAATTCAACAATATAAATGAAATAATTAAATATTTCAAAGAATCCAAAATAACAATTAAACACGGATGCAAAATAAAGATAAGCAAGGCTAAAATGCTAGATTAGTCACACCGGCTTGTGTGAGTGACGATCCTCTCCCTTGAGCGCAACCTTGTCTTCAAGATTGGTCACCCTTGAAGAAAAACACCACTTTCTTCCTCATTTCATTTTCCAATCATGACCATTACGTGAGCATTCATGCAATGGTAGCCTATAGTATAACATTCATCGCAATGGAAGCATAACCCATAGACCTTCTGCATGCCATCTCCCCATGAGACATCCTCCGAGCACTGGAGTTGCAAGGTAAGATGTGTGGTGGTGGTGCAGTGGCAGCTACAAACTACGCTCCTAACAAAGGCCAAGTATAACCAATGAAATGAATTGTAGTATAGTGACACAAGTAATAAAATATTCGAATCAACTTGTCTCTAGATTTACTATTACTTTGCTTTAGTTTATTATTTAGTAAATCATATTCAGGTTTAAACAACTAAACTATTCTACAAACTACACTAAGGTTAACATACTAATTACAAATTGGGAGCTCACCCATGTAATGATTCCCCTTAGCCACTAGCCAGATTAATGATTGATGATTCTGTAACTTGTTCCACTCTTCATTCATAATACGAAGAGTCATTGATTAAGCCTTGAATTTCGATTAAAGCAATCAAGGTCCTCTTGAGCCAGTTGTTTTGAGAGATGTATCATTCTCTAACATAATCGATCAAAGCATTTTTTACTAGACACCCTCTATTGTGTGAGGTTCTCACTCATTACAAATCATTGAATTGACTCACTCTTGTACAATCGAACCCCTACGTCCAATCCATGGTGCTCTATTGACCTAATTAGGTATTCCCCACAATAGAATCAAGGCAGAATCAATTATATGAATTAAAGCGACTTGAACAAGAAATATGCACAAATTGAATATGAACTCGAGTTTAGGAAGCTAGAGTATTCATACAATCATTAGACAAAACAAAACATGACTAGGGTTTCTCAAAACCTAAGCGAAAGGAGGTTACTCCATAAATAAGAGAGAGAAGGCAAAAATTTGATCTAGATCTTCAATCCCCATCTTCACGCTTGGTTCCCGAGCTCCATTGGCAAAGAAATCCTCCAAAACAGCTCTCGGAATGTTCTCAAGTTGCTCTCTCTACGGTTCGTCCCTTGGGGGATTTGGGACTAAAAGTCCTAACTTTCTTTCAGAACTAATGATGATGCTGTGCGTCTCGTACTATCTCCTCTAGAGCTACTCGTGCTCTAACCCTTCCTTTACATGGTGAGTGAGAAGGGGCTAGTCTACGCCGCTACAAAGAACTCAACAATTCAATAAACTTAAACATTTTCCTTTACTTTGCGGAAGTTGTTCTTACTCCCTTCCTTTACCATTGTCCTATAAATGAATTTTTGGGAGTTGACATTACTCTTCACCCTTAACCTCAAAGCTAGACCAATCCTTAACCTATGACCACCACGTTCGTATCGCCGTACGGTGTCATAACCTCCTAGTCCTAGGCAATGAACCGCGTTTCAATTCGTTGTCTGGTGCCATGCCAGATCAACTACTATGTATCGTACTGCCATCCAATAGTGATCCAACCACTCGAGGTTTCCACATGCACGCACGCACGCGCGCGCGCGCACACACACACACACCTTAATTACGCCGTGAGGTACCTCAAAATTGAAAATACATATAACCCTCACCTTCATCAGGTGGTGAGGTACCTCATACATTCTCAATTCTCCTAGTTCAAAAGTATAGGAGAAAGGAATCCTCAAACATGCATATCGAGTAACTATAACTGATAATTGAAAGCTTGAACTCATAAAGTATAACCTTAAAACTCGGCGTAGAATTTAACCCCTTTGTACTCACCCAGAAAAGATGAATCCTCGATTCCTTACTCGAAGAAATCTCTCCTTCATCGGGAGTCCAGTTGCATACGGACTACCATTTTTTATTATTATGTATTGTAATTTGTTGTACAGCCATGCCCTAGGTGCTTATCTTGTATAAAAAAAATAATTCCCTCATTCGTGAATTACTTAGGAAAACCTATGAATCAGAAATTACTTTTTAGACGACCTTTCTCGGTCTAAAATCCCTTTTGAATTGTTAGAACACCCTCTCCTCAAACCTCTTTTCAAAGACCCCTTAACCTCCTTTCAATTTTTCTGAAAATAACCCTTTCAAAAACTGACATTTTTTCTAATTAAATTCGTCTTTAACGAATTTTCAATCCAACTTAAAGCTTCTTAAAAATTTAGAACATAATTTTCCCAGGTCAACCATGAGGACTACTCTCTTCGAAAATTATCAAATATTTTAAAACACCTTGGTACGATTTTTATTTAATTGAAATCATCCTCCGACCAATTTTTAAAAATTGTAAATCAACTTAAAAAATCCTCAAATTAGATCACATGACCTCATTCAATTTTGCAATTGTTAAACTTAGAACCAAGCTCACCGAGAGGTTATAAAAAATTTAAAGAACTTAAATAGTGTTTCTGTAAATTTCCTGTATTTTCAGTGACCAATCCAAAACTGTCACTAATAGCCTATAAAACTGCGCTTAATTTTCCACAACTACATTTTCATGAAAAATCGCACGAAAACTCGATTCCAATCAAAGGAATTGAGTTCTCTTACTTCTAGAATGTGCCTACGTTCAGATTCAAAGACTTTGGACGTCAATTCCCTAGATTGGCCACCGATTAAACCCTGTTTCCTTGCCGTCAAGCTACGGTTCGCGATTGACGACTTCGGGTTTTTTTGAGATCAAACAAACTTGACAACGACTTGGGTTATCGTTCTTACCTTTCTCGAACAATTTTAATTGCGCGCTCGCGAGGAGGAACTCCTGGTGCGTGAGTTTGCGTTGGGGGAGGGTGATTCGGGATGGGGAACCACACGCCTTCTCTTTCTTTCTTTATTTTCTCAAACGCGTTGGGGGGAAGGGAATTAAGGGGCCGGTCCCATATATAATAATAATAATAATAATAATAATAATAATAATAATAATGTAATAATAGTTATTAATTATTATTAATCTACGGTTGCAAGTCTTCCTACATATAGCAATTGGGTTGATTTTGTCTTACTTCTCGAAAACCTTCAAAATAGACTGTGATACTTCTGGTGTAGGAATTGATGCGGTTTTGATGCAGGAGAAGAGACCAATCGCTTTATATAGTGAGAAATTGAGTGGGGCTTTCTTGAGCTATCCCACATATGACAAGGGCTCTATGCTTTGGTTCGAGCTCTTGAGACGTGGCAACACTACCTTTGGCCTAAGGAACTCATGATCCACATTGACCATGAATCGTTGAAGTACTTGAATGCACAACATAAACTGAACAAGAGGCCTGCTCGATGGGTGGAGTTAGGGGTGGGAAACGGGTACCCGTTCCCTGTTGGAGAGCAATATCCATCCCATATCCCAAACCCGTACAGGTTAACGGGTACCCAATACCCGTACGGGACGAATAACGGGTACCCATACTACCCGCAAATACCCATCTAATTGGAAGTAGCAGCAAATCCACCAAAAAAGGAAATTTGACTATTAGAACCTTCTTTGCTTCTCTTCTAGTGTCATTGTGATGTTGAATTAAATGTGTAGGAAATTTCACTATTGGATCTACTGCATCTGTCACTATATGTTGAATGTGGTCTCGTTACCACTCTGGCCACATTTCAATAGAGTTAGTAGCATCAGACCACTCATTACCACTCTAAAAATGTTGGAGTAGCTAGTTAACAGGGAATGGCCAGAAGCTCGGTTACTCCTTTATGGTTCCTGTGCTAATTCTTTTGAAGTTTTAAGGAGTGATGTTGATGTCTGCCTTGCAATTGAAGATGGTGATGCGGGAATAGCTTTCTCTTTGCGCACAACTATATAGAACTTTGATTTCCTAGGTCCTTAAGGTATATGCAAAGATTAACAAAATAGGAATGTGGTTAAATGGTTCAACCATTATGGATTTGGAACCATAAAGAATCTGTTGCATAGGTTTAGTAGCGGCAGAGTTACGGTGGTAGTGTTTGGGCTTTTGGACTAATGGGTTGAACGGGTACCCGTAATACCCAAACGGGTATTAACGGGTAATCCGCGGGTACCCAAAGTAGTGATTCATGATCCCAAGTCCCATCCCGTAAAAAAATTACGGGTATTTGGGTACCCGTAACCCTCCAAAAACGGGACGGGTACGGGTATACCCAAATACCTGTATCCCGTTTCCCACCCCTAGGTGGAGTTCATTGAGCCCTTTCCATATGTGATCCGATACAAGTAAGGTAAGAAGAATGTAGTTGCTGATGCCCTTTTCTCGAAGGTATGCTTTAATCTCATCTCTTGATGCTAGATTCATTGAATTCGAGCACATTAAATAGTTATATGTATAAATTATCTTGATTTTAGTGAGATTTATAAGGCACGCGAGAAACATGGAGAAGGGAAATATTATCAAGCTGATGGATACTTCTTTCGTGCTACCAACTTTGTGTGCCTCATACTTCAATTCGTGAGTTATTGGTTAGGAAGCTCATGGTGTAGGTCTTATGGATCATTTTGGGGTGTCCCAGACTTTGGATTGCCTACAAGAATATTTTTATTGGCCACACATGAGAAGTAACCTGGTGAAGCTGTGTGCAATTTTTCTTAAGTGCCGCCAATCCAAATCAAAAGTGCAACCAACCGGGTTATATATTCCCTCCCTTTTCCTACT